AAAAAAAAAAAAAAAAAAAAAAAAAAAAAAAAAAAAAAAAAAAAAAAAGCTGGATTCAAAGAAGGAATTTGGGTTCTGGACCAAAGCATTCAAGCCATTAGGTAATTCTACATCACTACCAGGCAGGTGGTTAGGGGCTAACACCATAAAACCCACTTTGTGGTAAGTCCCCATGGAATGCACAGGCTGTGGCCAATATTAATGCTTTTGATACAGGAATTTAGTCTCTCTCTCGGTTGTGGTTGGCTTAACTGTGTCAACAGAACTCTTGCCACATTACCAAGTCATTCTGGTTGTTCAGAGTGCAATCATAAAAGCTAATCCAGGGTCTTTTTCAGGTACCTTCCAAAGGAAGTTGCCCCTACTAGACCAGTGACTAATTAATACATTGTAAAGCACTAGTATATATATTGGAGCATCAGGTTCCACAGTGGAAACTATGTCTGGAAAGGTAACATTGAGCAAGGGCTTAACAGTTAACCTAAACATAGTGTCATCCAAGTAAGAAGACATTACCAGCTCCTTAATATACAAACTCAAAGACCCTTCCATCTGGTTTCTGCTGAAATCCAATTGGACACCATACCAGCTTGGTTTCTGTATATACTAGGAACTCAGTTTTAATCTTGGCCAATCAGGATCCTGAGTCTCCTAGATGATTACTGATTATGTCCTATTCCAGGGAATAGGGCATCACTTTTCAAATTAGCCAGGGATTTTCATATCCTGTGTTGGACTCATCTATGTCTTCCCAAATAAACTGCCCAAGCACCATTCAATTTACTGTTTTATAATCTAACCCCAAACTGTCGCTAACATCTTAACAGCTGACTCAGTGCTGTTTATAAGAAACAACTCTGGTACTGTCTGCCTGCCACACCATTTTAAATTATTTTTAAATAGGCATATCTCATTGAGAAGAGCTTGTCATAGCTCTCACAGCTAACAGGAGCTGGGTAGCTAGCAAATGTTAGGTCAGAGCTGGGTAGCCAGCAAATGTCAGGTCATTGTGATACCCCTTTTCCTTCCATTTTCTTGGTTCTACTTCCAAAGCTTTTATATAATCCCAAAGCTGCCACCAACTGAAAGAACGTGGAAGATTGTATACAATGATTAGACTCAGACAGAGCCATTAACTAAACTTTGTTTAAAATTGGCAAAGAGACACCATAGATTTGATAGCATAGAAGAAATAACAAGTAGCTTGTGTCATGTAGTACAGCTCCCTCAATTTTCCCTCAGTCCAATGGATATTGCTCATATGCCGGACTCATATGCTAGTAGCTTCTACAAAACTGTCTCATTAAGTCAGGCGTTTACCCAGACTTTCTATATATATCTACATCTATATATATGTGTGTGTGTGTGTGTATATGTATATATATATGAGCAAAATACTTCTGGCTCTGATCTTTGTATGCCATTGTCTTGTGAATTTAGCATACACAACTTAAATCTGTGTAAAAAATACCTATTTATTTTATCTATACCCTTAGCTGATTTTCCCTTGTGGGGTTTAATTGTTGGAGTGTGCCTTCCATATGAATTACACTACATTTGGATGGCTACCCCACTTTCAAATATTTAAGGGCTACTGTAAGGGTTAGGCTTATTTAATGTTACCAGAGAGCAGAAATAGCATCAATGGCCAAAAGCTTTGGGATAATTTATCTTGGATCAGTATATTTTAAAACTAACTTCTTATGTATAGTATCTTATTTAATGTTGCATTTCCAGTATCTGGATTACAGTAGGCATTCCCTAATGTTATTAGATGAATGACTAAATTTCTAACAAGAGATATTTAAAACTAATGGGCTACTCCAAAAGATACTGAGTTTCTAACACTGGAGCCAAAAATCAGAGAATCATTTATTAAAGATATGAGTACTTATGTATCAGAAAGAAAATAACCCAAGTGACTTCTAAGGTCCCTAAATTGCTCTAATCTACTCTAATATCAAAACACTGTTTTCATGAGAGCAATTTTTTTAGGTGGATAGTTGTGATAGAAGCTCCCAAGGATAATTCCCTAAAGCTGACCTAACATCTGTCTTTCTGCAATGCACAGACTTTTTCTTTCTTAGGAAGCTGATGGGTTTAAAATACATGACTGTGGTCTTCTCTGAGCCTAAGGTATCTGAACAACTTCAACAAAGAGAGGCTGGCTATCTGTACCAAGAGAGAATACCTTTAAATAACATTAATGGCCATTGGTTTAGAAATCGTTTCCTTAGTCCTTTGATAAATATTTCTATAGAGAATAAATGTACCCTTCTTTATCTTAATTATGGTGACTGCATTTTACCAAAGGCCCACGTAGGGTGAGTACGAAAGTGGTAAATTCACCCCTAACCCCACATCCATGGCACACAAAAAGTGAAGGCTTAAGGCTTCTTCAGGTGCCTATCCTTTTGTGCAACCTGGAATTAGTTATTATGTAAACAAGTGGGTTCCACGATGGGTACTGACAACATTTCACATTATCTTCTTCAAGTATGTTTCTTTTCTAGAGTTGCCAAGTCACCTCCTCTCAGAGACACTGCACAGATACAGGCACTACAACTACTGACTTTATTCAGCACTTAGTAAATGTTGAATATACCTTAAGCAAAGCACGATCTATTTCATTTGTTGAGAATAAATGACCATACTCTGTTCAGCATGTACAAAGCTGTTGGTTTATTCAGCCGCAAAGCTGGGGAAAGGCATCCTTTAGGAGTGAATAGCAAAAATGCATTTATGAGCAAGGCATTTTTACACATACACACGCGCACACACACCCACACAGAAGGAACAGACTGTGGTTACATAAACATCAACATATTTTAATTTTCAGACCTATCTTTCCCACCTCCCCCTTGAAAAACAGGCTGTAACATTTTAAAAACCAGTTTCACAGAAAACATCTACATAGGAACAGTTTCTGATACATTCAGTTACACTAACAGTATGATACGGTTTCAGTTTAGTAATTTTCCACTAACAAATGTTTTTTCTACTTATTACAATCCCCTCCTTTTTTTTCCTTAAGACAATTAGGGCTCAGCAGAAATACTCATTAGATTATAAACACTCCTCTCTCTCCTAAAGTTGCTACACATTTATAGAATTTGTGATTCCATTAATGCTTTAAGTTTCTGATGCCACACTATAGACAGCACTTAGTTATGGAGAATAGGAAAAAGCAAAACTAGAACAAGGCAGTACGATATAACTTTAACAATCTATTTTCTGAACCCTGTAGGTACCTAGTTAACCAGGATCATACACAGGTTTCACTCTTTATTATAGGTATGTGAAAAGATCTAACAGTCTCATGCATTTTATTTATGTTGACGTCTACATTTTGACTCATCTAAATAAACACTGCAAGACTCATTTACAAGAGTATATATACTTCCTTGTTCAGATAGATCTAAAGCTAATCTATGAAGAAAAACAATGACACTAAAAAACTCTAACTTCAGGGTGTATTAGGATGAGATTTTCTACAGTAAAGTTCTTTAAAGTTAGAAGTGATGCTAAAAAGTTTGCAATGGATGGGAAAGTGCATTTAGTGCTGCTCCAGGAAACAGACAGACTGAAATACTTTAATCTACTAGCAGTTAATACAGAAAACATAAACATAAATGCTCTCTTAATAATCCTTTCACTTTGGTCTTTTGGAGTGTGTTTTATTTCGACTAAAGTCTGTGTGCCAAGACGCAGGAAACACATTCTCTATAGAATAGTTGTCTGTTTAATGCTATATGTAGACCTATCCATATAAGCTGGGGGATAAATTATAGTCCCACCATTTTCTTTTGTCTAGTTATTCAATTTAATTCAACTACCTCCCTATAACTGAATGTCAGAGAAAAGTTTGCTCAGCCAGGTATTATTTGGAGCAGATAACTTCCCACTTTCCACAACGGCTGTTACTAACTAAAGGGGTAGTAGCCTACCTTTTCCTTTCCGTTAATAATTAGATAACTAGTTAGAGTCCATTCAGATAGGCAGAGTAAATTGGGGGGAGAACTGAATGTGGAGAATAGTCAATTTATCCTTTGCAATGTGGTCCTTTTTGACTAATTCTCTATTGATGTTCTCGTTTTATCCACAGGATCTGTCAAAGGGAATGCTCACACTGTATATTTTCTGTAGTTGAGTGATGGGCCTCTTGGATAGATATTCAGTACTTAGTAGTACTTGGGCTTGTCAGGAGAGAGTGGTTTGGTTGGGGAGGCATTCCTTTCTCAGCTATGGGCTGTGCAACTTGGTACTATTTTCTGAATTAGAAACATAAGAGATATCACAACAAATGGTGAATCTTTATAGTGATGCAGTTAGGAGTTTGTTAACTGCCTTTTGGAAGTCAGTATAAGAGTAAGTGGTATTGATGGGTTCAGTGCGGGTTGTTTCCTTAACTGTTTTAGTTAACCAGCCACAGCAACAACCAGAAACACATGAATTAGGGATCTGTTTTAGGTATTCAGGTATGGGAGTGGCTCTACTCAAGGTTCGGCTTAACTGTTTGGTGGCAAATTGCAGTGCTCCATTTAGAGTGGCATGATCTCTAGAAAGCCGGCTGGGACTTGTCAGGGGCTTCTGAAAAGGTGGGACTCCACAAGAAGCCAGAGGTGGCCATTCAGGAATTGGTTCCAGTTTGGGTACACAATGGGAGCAATGGGAGAGCCTTAGACCTATCTCCCGAAGTATATGGACTGGTGTGCTTGGATCTAAGAGTTTAGCATGATATAACCAGGAATTAGGATTTAAAGGTTTCCAAGTAGTTGAGTATTTTAAAAGGCACTTAACCTGCCAGGCAAGACTCTCAAGAGGTGTGAGGTTGGGCACCACAGGGTCCTCTTCCTCAGAGGACTCCCACTCTTCCCCAGAACTCTCATTTAGGTAGTGAGTGCTTCCTTCTTCCTCACTTTCTGATTCTGACAAGGGGTCAGGAGAGGGATTTCTGGGACCCATTAGAAAAGAAGAAGGAACCAGAAAAAGGTAACAGCTGCAGCCAGCAAAACACTAACACTGGCAAATAGAAACAAAAGATGGAAAATCCTTTCAACAAGATTAACTTGCCTGTTTCTGAGTCCAGCACACACACATACGCCTCTGGCTTGCACCACTGTGCGGTTCTTCGAGATTATGTTGTATAGTCTTCACTTTACAAAGAAGACATCTCAGTTCTCAGGACCAGTTCAGTGTGTGTAAAAGTGTTAGTCACTTACCAGTGGCACAGGTCAGAGTCTCTCCTTTAAATCCTGGCTACCCAAGAAGAGAAGGGGTCCTCATGTAGGCAAGCTGATTTTCTTAGCGTGGTCTCAACTGGTCATGACTATGAAGAGACACTTGTGTCCTCTGTTTTGATGTCAGGGATATTATAGCTACTTGGTAATAAAAAGAAGCTCAGCGGTCACTTTCATAGTCTGCTGGTGCAGCAAATTTTGTGCAGGGGAATGGTGGGATGAGTTGTCAAGGACATCTGGTGTGCACGGATCCGATGTTTTCCATAGGTGGTGCAAATGCCCTTGGAAACTGGTGACTTAGCTGTTGGACTATCTGGAAAGGTAGCCTTAACCTGTGAATGAGAAGACTAGACACATGATATTAAAGCCTGAAAGCACTAGGTAATATTACTGTCTACCTATGAGTATCCAAATACATGGATGCTGAACAAGAAGCCTTTTTGGTTTTCCCATCTCTATCTTATAGGCTTAGGTAGATTTTCCTACTGAGAATGGCCCCTAAAATCACAAAATTGGGAAGGAGAGAGCCTGGGACCGTTTTAATCCTTTGTTGGTACATATCAGGGCCAATTTGTTTTAAAATATGCAGTTCTAGCCCATAAAATTACTTTCATTAAAGTAGATCCCTTATGTCCCAAACTCCAAAGAGAGAACTATAAAAACTCTTTTATATTTATATATATATATTTTTACCTTTAGATATGCTTGGTAGGATTAGTTTTAAGAGACCTGTCCTTGTAGAGCTGCTAGATATTAGGACTCTTGCAGGGACCCCAGAGGTTGTGATCATATGATCACATTCTACACGTTATGTGACACTGGCAAGTAAAACTCTTAATACAATAGGAATTACACTGAATGTAAACAGGTTAAGCTCACAATTAAAAGGCAGACACTCAGACTGGATTAAAAAAATAAAACAAGATTCAGTAATATGCTGCTAACAAATGACATTTTAAAGCAAAAAAACATAGAAAGGTCAAAAATAAAAGGATGAAAAAAAATATCATGCAACTGTCGACCTGAATAAAGATGGGATAGCAATTTTAACATTGACAAAAAAAGATTTTAAGCCCGGCTGGANTCTTCACTAGATTATGAGATCTTTTAGGGCAGAAACTACATTTTATCTTTGGGTGGTCAGTACCTAAGGCAGAGTCTGTATTGCATAAATACTGTTGACTTAATAAACCTAAGTATAACATTACAGAAACTACAGAGACTTTTAAAAGAGAAACAGATTACTGAAGCTTCTGGATAACATAACTTTTCTCTTTCTGACAACATGTTTACCTCTTGTTTCCATTTCATGAGACAGAAAGGATATGCATTTTTCTGGTGGGTTGTAATAAAACCTTTGAAAAATAGAAGCTTACAGCTGTTTGAGAGGATTTTTGAGATAAGAAAAATTAATCTAAGTTAAAACAAAGAATACAAGATTAACCAATATCAGAGTTCTTTTTAAGTCATAATCTTGACTAATTGGCAAACTACAAGAGAATATTAATATTTCAATATTTTGAACTTTGAGTAGTGTTTAATAGCATTGTGCCTTACCAACATTTACCAGAATTTCTGTCAATACTAATGTATAAAAGAGAAATTTTGATCTTCTCAGAATAAAGAATATTGTTACTTAAAATCATTTTGCACCAAGGAGCATATGAAAAGATGCTGATATCATTAATCATTAGGGGAAAGCAAATCAAAGCAGCAGTGAGATACTGCCTCACATTCATTAGGGTAGCTACTATCAGGGAAAAATGCCCAGGTGGCGTGGCTCAGTGGTTGAGTATCAACCTAGGATCCAGGAGATCCTGGTTTGATTCCTGGTCAGGGCACATGCCAGGGTTGCAGACTTGATCCCCAGTAGGGGGTGCGCAGGAGGCAGCCAGTCAATGACATTTTCATCATTGATGTTTCTATCTCTCTCTCCCTCCCCTTTCCTCTCTCCAAAATCAATAAAGATATATTAAAAAAAAAGATTTTAAGCCAAAAATTATAAGGGACAAAGATGGACGATAATACTAGTAAAATAAACTGAATAAAGTGATATACAGTTAAATCCTCATAGTAATGTCATTAATAGGCTCTGCAACTTTAAACAAAATGCTGTTACTATAGGTTAATTGATATAAGCAAGAGTTAAGCCCCTATGGGAAGGATGTTATTTGAGGACCTGCTGTACTTATTATCATACATACACCTGAACACACATACTCAAAATTTCTCAAGTAACAACTAATAGGACTGAAGGGGGAAATATAAGCAGGGATTTAAAAAAAGCATGAAAACAGTTAAAATATTAATATTAAGGATTACATAAGTAAACAGAATAATACCAACCAATAGATATCTGAATGTGCATACACACAAATAGATCATGCATTAAATTATAAAATATAACTAGATTCCAAAGGGCCATTTCATTCAGACTAAATTCTCTGACCATAATGCAATAAAAGTAGATACTAAATGTTAGTTAAAAGCAATCCTATTTTGGGACATAACTAATTTAGGGGTTAAAATGGAAATTATAAAGGATATTAAGAAATTGTAAAACAGGATGATAATACAGACTACCTGCAAGGCATAATTTGTGGGGCATGGCCAAATCAGTCCCTCAAAGAAATTTATAGCTTTGAACACACTGATGAGAAAACAAATAAGTTTAAATATCCACAAGTTAAGAATTCAATTCAAGATATTGGAAAAGAGCAATAGTAAAATAAGCAGGAAGGAAATAATAAAGGAAATTAAATAGTATATAAAAGAGCAGCAAAGAAGATTGATAAAACTAAAATATTTTCTGAAAGTATGAATAAAAAAACAAAACTGGTGAGACTTATTCAAGAAAGACTTAAAGTAACAGATTAAAAATAAAAATATGACAAATATATGCTAAAATATGAAAATTTAGATGAAATGACGAAATTTTAGAAGAAAATACTAAAATTCATACAGGAAGAAACAGGTAACTTCAATAGAATAAACTATAAGTATTAAATAAAATAAAAAGGTAACAACTGCCTATTAAAACACAGGCCCCTATGGTTTTATAAGTGAGTCCCATTAATTCCTAGAAAATTCATACCTACTTATATAAGTTGTTCCAGAAAAAAGAAAAATGTATATAAACTGACTAGCTTTCATGAGGATAATTATTAATTCTAAATCTAGTTATGAACCAAATAAGTATATGTTCATTTCACTTGCAAAAAATCCCAAATATTACTCAACAAGACTAGTAGTATATTAAAGAAAAGAAAACTATGTTCTAATCAGGTCGAGCTTATCCCAGGAAAGAATATCTCGATTTCAGAAAAATGTCTAAATGTAACCTACTACAGTAATAAAGCAAAAACAAAAAACCCCACAAAAAAAAACAAAGAATAATTTTATCAACTGTGGATAACCTTTGTTAGTTCCTGATTAACACCTATTTATGCTTTAAAAAACAAAGCACAAAAACCACTTACCAAACTAGCAAAAGAAAGTTATTTTCTCAACTTGGTAAAAGTTAACAACCAAAATCTTTTAGCAAATATTATACTAAATGAGAAACTTTAGATATATTCCCTTGAAAAATGAAATTAGATAAGGATGACCATGATGATTGATACTGACAAAGAACAAAAAGTTCTAATCAATGTTATAATAAAAGAATGACAGGTATAAGAACTGGAAGAAAAGAGATAAAACTATTAATTAACAGGTGATATGGTCATCTAATTTTTAAAAAGACTAATGTATAAACAATTAGAGCTAATACAAGAGCTCAACAAAGTTTCTGGATCTGAGATTAACTGCCTATGAATATTCATTAATTTATTTATGTAGCACTTACTATTTGCCAGGTACTGTTCTAGAAACTGCCTAAATGTTAATTCATTTTAAATTCTCCTACAAACCCTATAAGAAAGGTACTTTTATTGTTCCCATTTACACAAGGCTTAAGCTCACTCATCTACTGATAGAGTCAGAATTTGAACCCAGGCTCTCTTAACTTCTGTACCAGTAATACTAACTAGAAAATGTATTACATAAATCCTTTTACAAGGTATCACAAGACCAAAAAATGATGAATTTGATCACATCAAAGTTAATCATTTCTTGAGTGAACTAAAGACATAAAGAACAAAGTTTACAAATCAACAACAAAAAGTAGCAACCTCAATAAAGAAATGGGCAAAGGACAAAAACAACTAATTTACAGAAGGGAAAAGCGATAAGCCATTAGCCATATGAGTAAAGAGATACCACATTATTCCATTATTTGGTAAAAAATTAGAAAGCTAGACAATGTCAAGTGTTAGTGAGAAGACTAAAAGAACCCCTTTAGGAACCAAAGATTATAGACTGGGACAACCTTTCTGAAGAGCAATTGGTAGTTCTACTTAGTCAAACTATCTGCACATCTCATGATCTAGCAATTCTACTCTTGGGTAAATATAGCAAAGAAATTCTCATAAGACCAACATGTATTCTGATGCTTCATCTTTGATGCTAAAAATTTAGAAGAGTTCTAGGTTTCCATCACTGGAAACCTAGAGTGGCTAGGTAAAACGTGGTGAAAGCACATTAGAAGTATACATTGCAATATGGTTGTACTAAAGGTATAGCTCTAAATAAAAAGAGCAAAAACCAAAATATCAAATCCTATTTATGCCATTCTGTAGGAGTGAGTTCCAAAGTGAAAGTCAGTAAACATCTCTAGTTTCAAATATACACAGAGTTGTAGTAATAAGGTTGTATGCTACGGCTTCATGTCAGGAATAGTCCTCTAAAAAATATTTCTCTGGCTTCTATACATTCTTTTTATCTAATTCAGTTCCCAGCAGTGTCTGGCACATATTAGGGACTTAGGAAGTTTTTTGAAAAAATTAGTAAGGGAATGATGAAGGCCTGCTGTAACTATACAAATATGTTCTGTTTTTATTTTAGGGAGACAAAATTCCCAAATTATATTTAACTGACTTGGTAATATGTTGGACAAAGGCACATTAAACAGTTTATTACAGCAGGACCAACAAACATGAAGCTACTAACGCAATATAAAGGGAACTGCTTATAACTTGATCTTTAAGAATGAACATGAATGCAAATACTTAAGTGTATAATACTTTTACCTAGTTCACTCTGAAAAAGAAAATTCAAAACATACCATAAGTGGTTATTTTATTGAGAAAGGAGAAGCTGTTGGCTTTAAATACTTCTGTCATCTTATATTTTTACTATGTTCATTTCAACCAAATTCCATCTGCAATATCACTGAATACATTTCAGTCATTGTGTTACTCAAAGCATGCTTTAAAAGGCTCATTCTACTTTAGAAATAAGACAGTCTCTTTGTAGGCATATATAAATTCTAGAATGAGCCCATCACTGGTATTCCTTTACATTCCGTGTGCACAGTTTTCCCATATCAAAACTGAATTAACCACGCCTACTCTATATATGCCCATGTAGAATTTACCTTTAAAGAATGATTTTTCTATGATTTTGGAACTAAACAGTCTCGCCATACAAATTCTTTAGTTTTGTTATTTCTTTGACTAAGTTTCCCAAGAACAGGAAAATATTTATTCCCAAAGTTGCTATTATGTTATTTTTTATCATAGCTCCAAAAGTAAAATTCAAGAAATAGGTAAGCCTCAACACAGTGAAACTATGGTGTTCAAAATACGCATTCACTGTGAAATGATTACCACAATCAAGCTAATTAACATTATCTATCACCTCAGTTACCATTTTTTGGGGGTGGTGAGAAAGAACACTTAAGATCCATTCTTAGCAAATTTCAAGTACACATACTAATCATTAACTATAGTTACCATGCTGTACACTTAGTCTCCAGAACTCACTCATCTTATAACTCAAAGTCTGTACCCTTTGACAAACATCTCCCCATTTCCTACACACCCTAGCTACTGCTAACTTCCATTCTACTGTTACTGAGTTTGACTTTTTTAGATTCTATATATAAGTGGAATCATGCAGTATATGTCTTTCTGTGTCTGCCTTATTTCACTTAGCTGAATGATCTTCCAATTGACCCATGCTGTTGAAATTGCAGAATTTCCTTCTTTTTAAGACTGCATATTCCTGTGTGTGTGTGTGTGTGTGTGTGTGTGTGCGCGCGCGCGTCTCACATCTTTATCCATTCATACACTGATGGACACAGGCTGTTTCCATATGTTGGCTACTGTCAATAATGCTGCAATAAACATGGGCATGCAGAGATATCTTTCAGATAGTGACCTTATTTCCTTTGAATGTATACCCAGAAGTGAGATTGCTGGGTCATATGGTAGTTCTATTTTTAATTTTTTGAGGAACTTCCATACTGTTTTCCATACTGACTGTACCAATTTACATTCCCACCAACACGTACAAGGTTTCCCTTTCCTCCACATCCTTGCTAACATTTGTTTTCTTTTGACTTTTTGATAATAACCACCCTAACAGGTGCAAGGTGTTATATTATTGTGGTTTTGACTTGCATTTCCCTGACAATTACTGATGTTGAGCACCTTTTCATGTACCTGTTGGCAATTAGTATGTCTTGTTTGGAAAAATGTCTATTCAGGATCTTTGCTTACTTTAAAAGAAAGTTTTGTGTGTTTTTTTGGACATTGAGTTCCCTATATATTATGGATATTAACCTCCTTTGGGATAAATGGTTTGCAAATATCTTCTCCTATTGCAAAGGTTATCTTTTCATTTTGCAATCTACTATCTTTTAATAAATTCTCCAGATTATAATATTCAAAAAATACTGAACAAAAAAGTTATTAATCCTAAAAAAATTAAAGTATAGTTAGGCTGACCTCTGGTGGCCAGATGCCTCATATGAAGTCATCTCTCATTTGAGGCAGGCAGCAAGACAGCCAACTAAAATACAGTAAAGGAAACAGTACTGTTAGAAACTTCACAAACAGAGCGACAAAGGTAGCAGGCACCCAAAGCATGAAGAGAGCTGAGCAATTAAAGGCCACAAAATAGTAAATGCCTCCAAATATTTGTTCTAATTTATAGTTTACCAGTTGGACTCTACATAAAAACAAATGGTACATATAGAGGTTCTCAAAGTAAAAATAGTTCTGCACTATCCAATACTGTACCATTCACCCTATGTGTCTACTGAGCACAGGAAATGTGGTTAGTGTAAAATAATACCCAATTTCAAAGTTAGCAGGAAAAAAGTAAACTATCTCATTAATTATTTATGTTACTAACATGTTGAAATGATAATCTGAATATACTTGGTTAAAAAAATGAATGCCCTTTCTAGGTTTCTTTTACCACAACTTTCCGGGCAGTCCACATGTGAACTACAGCCAGTTTACAAATGTAATCAGCACGTTCCATGCACCCTTAGGCCTTTATACTTTTGCACTAAGTTAAAATGCTTTTTGAGAAGTTAGACATCTTGATAATTTTGAAATTATGGGCAACCCCAATGCTTCCATATTCATTACTTTATCGTCTGAGTGCCTAAAACGTTTCGGGAATTAGGAACAGGAAGAGAATGGATGAATAAATTATGGCATATTCATGCAATAGATACTACAGCAACCCGTGCCTCAGTTTCCTCATCTTTAAAGGAGACAGAAGTTACTTCACAGGGGTCGTTTGCAAAGATTCCAGGAAGTAACGTGCTCACACCAGTGTCTGGCACGTAAGGGTCCACAGATGTAAGTTGCTATTAGGAAAATACCAATACGAATAAACCTCAAAAGCAATGACTGAAAAAAGGAAACCGCATATCTGACCATTCATACTAGAACGTGAAAACAACACAGTATACTTTTTCAGAGATGCACTCAAATATTGTTAATACACACAAATGAACAGTGAATTCAGAAAGCCCGTTACTGCTGGGGAGGCACGGGGACGCGACAGGAACAGCACCCACGGGCGGCTCTGGCACCTATGTTTTTGGGCGGCTGTGGGTGCTGAGATGCTCACTGCCGTCTGACCTAACCCCGTTTTTAAAAAAAGTTTAAAGGCTCAGGTCCCGCTCGAAGGCACTTCAAGTTTATATCTCAACCACTCCCCGGAACGCTGCCATTGTCTGCTCTCCTGTGAGGACATGTCCTAAGGCGCCGCGGAAAGCTGGGCCTCGGAAGCTGGCACACCCAGGACGAGCTGCGCCCACGTTGAACAGCCTCTCCTCG